TTATTCTCCAACCTCAACCCTTATTCTGTAATTTTGTGTGTGTGTCTCGTCTCATATTAGTCGGAGTCACAACATTATTATTTTGGCGACGATGACGAGTTTACCGCCCCCAAAGATTTTTATTCCTGGTGAAAGTGTCTGGAATCACTTTTTGGAGCGGTTAGAAAATACTCAGAAAAGTTTCAGAAAGTAATTAAGTGAACGAAATATCGATTCAATTCAAACGCTCATTTCAATCCCGTCCCACCAGATCCCGTGCGTCAGACCTCTATCCTCCTCCTCACTGAACTGCTACATTTGATAAATCCTTTTAAATACAAGTTGTCTCCCTCTGGAACTCTATACTTTCAGATATTCGACACACAAAATCGATATCCTCTTTCAAATCTCTCCTCTTTGAACACCTACTCTATTCCCAATCCGATTGATCACGAAATGCACTTAAAAACCTAAGCTGTAAAAACCTCAAAGTACACCCAAATACTCTGATTATTTTGTAATTCATCGATATTTCGTTCACTTAATTACTTTCTCGGTATATTTTATATTTTCACGTATTTATATCTTTGTATCATTTATAACTTTATTGTACTCCGAATCAATCTGTAAATATTAAATTGTATTTCAAGGATACACCAAAATATTAATATATATTCTGTATTTGTGACTTTTTTCAAATCCCTGCTAAAGGGACACTAGTCCCAGAATAATAAAATTATTTTCATTCATTCATTCACTGGAACACGGAGCATGCGACAACTGGAGAATCACCAGTCTCGATTTCCTCCTTAAATATCGAAGTTATGTGAACTTCACCCATATTTTTATATTTTCTAGCTTAAAGCGTTTTGTTCTGACAGAAGGAAAATATTGGGCATGTTAATTCCGAACAAACTACAAGTTGAATTTTTCCTATGGATTTGCTCTCTCTTCCATTTTACGAGTGAAAACATACCTATTAAGTATATTTCACTGCTATTAGTGCAAAAACGTCGTATGTAAAAATTTTCAACTTTTATTATATTTGTGCTAAAGGTGACATATTGTAGTCTGCAACTGATATAACTAGTCTACTGCTATGGAAAATAGCAGAGAGCAATACAATATGAAATTATACTAATAAAGCATAAAGAAATAATGAATTTTAAGCAGTCTTGCGCTAAACAATCAATTTTTACATACGACCTTTTGTACTAACAGTAGTGATATGCTTGTTCAGTGTATGCATTTTTTTTTTAATTAAGGATAATCAAATATGGAATCTTCAAATAAGGCACTCTTTCGCATTTTTATTAGCTAATAAACGAAATTCGTGGATATCAAACCCGCGAATGTTGAAGGGTAACTGTATTTTCGAATCGGCTTCTACCAGAGATTTTATTCTCATATGAAAAATTGTATACCTTGTAATATTTTAATATTTCAGCCAATGAAAACGGCGAGGAAGCTATACTGACCTTACTTGGCAGACTTTTATTTATTTATTTTAATTTTCTGTGTCATTTGCACCTGCGCTGCATTTGCAATTCAAATTCATGATATAATGGAAAATCATCGTGGCACTTAGCCCGTTTTAGCATACCACCTGGTACACTTAGTTCGCACACTAACTTCGGACCCAGATTTAACGACTATTAATGATTGTTACCTTTAGCGAGTTTTATAGGTTGTTGGCAATTGCATAAAAAAATACACTTACGGGTCTAACTCAATTTTTTAATTTCTTGCTCTTACCCCGTTATTGATGTTCAGCCATCAAGCATTGAAGTCGTAAATATATTTATAATTCATATAAATTCAAAATATAAATTTATTTTAATTTTCATGAATTTTCCACTTATACAGAATTACTATAGAAAATAGTTTACAAGGTTCATAGGGTAGAGCTTGGTAACATTACTTCCAAAATAAAGATATGTATACTGTTGTTAATTTTAGGTACTATTTTCGTTGTTTAAAATTTAAATTATGATACTGTTTCAGCTCTGACCATGGCACATATAACAAATGGTTGACGTTTTGATAGCCATGTTCACTTTGTGCATTTTAATTTATTGTAAAATTAAGAGCATATATACATACTTCTAACAGAGGAACATCAACTATGTAAAAGGAAAGATTTTGCTTGGAAGATTTCCCGATATGGTATTATTTAAAGTACACTTCCGTAAATGCTAACTTTTAAGTTCATATTATTTGCTTTATTCTTTTTCAGATGATGTACAGAAGGAGAACAAACAGTTTTTTATGAAAGTCATGAATATAAAACTAATCATTGACTGAACATTCATTCTTTATTAAAAAATATTCTAGTTCATTTTATGATAAAACATGTGCGGATCTCATTAGTGTTTTTCACAGCATTGAACCCCCTAATTTTTTCTATTTATTGGATTCACCCCTTTCTCGTCTTTTTGGATATACGGGTTTTTTTCCGGTTCGCTGTGTGCTGTTAACACGCGTTAGCCCCCTCGGCCACTCAGGGGTGCCCAGAAGGGGGTTTCATGGCTCAAGTTACGCCATCAAAATCTTTGAGGGAGGCACATTTTGAATTTTTGAGGGGAGAACATTTCACTGAAATAATGAACTTTGGATATGAAAAGTTTTAAATCAAATACAAGTGGAAGCATAGAACTGCCTGTAGTAGGTATAATTGTATATAAATTTTTAAATTCTAATTTTTTTGCACTGTTTTTAAGAAGAAGAGAACAATAAAATAATTTGAAAATGGTGGGGAAAGATCCCTCTCCCCCAAGGCCAATCCCCCATCGATCTTGCGGAGGATGACCAAGGAAAACCATTCTTTGGGTACTGGGTTTCTGACCCGGGTACTATTCATGGATGTGAAAACCATATCTTTATAACTTTAAATACATTTACTGTAGTTTAGTAATTCTAGATCTGATATTATATTTAAATAATTAGGTATAAACGTCCGTGTGCTCGGAAATATCATGTAACATTTTAGAAAATTAAATTAGTGAATAATTTGATGAATTTTTCCTTTGTGAAATCCCAACCTTATCATGTCTTCCTCTGCAGTATCTTTAATCTGGTTTATTACAAATAATAACTATTTCTCATTGTTAGGAGTTATGAAAAAATGCTAAATTTAACGTTCGAAAGAATTTGATTATTGAATAAAGGAGAAAACAACAAAATACTTATCTTGGCCGAAAATAATAATTTAAGTTATTTTAAATTAGTAACCATCCTACATTGTTAGTAATAATAGGAAAGGTCTAGCTAAACATATACTATGAAAAATTGAATTACTGACTACAGCAGAAAAGAAGAAAAACTGATTTACATAAATAAGAGTCTGGGTATATATGTATATAATATATAATTAAAAAGTGGAAGATTTTAGAAAAAAATAATATCGAACATATAAAGTCTTAGAAAGAAATAAAGACTGACAATAACATTATGAAAAATAATTTCTGAAAACTAAAAACATTATTTACCGAAATCCAAATGTTTCTATGGAAACTAAATCAAAATGTCTAACTAAATGGAAACTTTTACAATTATTTTTAAACTCGATAAATCTAAAGGTAATGCAGATTGATGAAAAACGCGTGGGAAAGACATACAGTAATTACTTGTTTTAAATGGATAATTGCTGGCTCATACGAAAGTATTGTGTACACATTCTAGGTGTTTATTTTACTATGCCAATCCCTTCCAAGGCTGTCAGGGATATTGTCATAATAATTCTGCTTTAAGAGCTGTTGATAATTTATTGCTGTGGACTGTAAAATTAGATAAGTTAACGGATTAAAGAAGTGAATATGTAAAATTGATTGCTTTGCTTTATTACATGTAATTTTATACGGAGGTTAAATATAGGTGGGTTGGGATACTTGCATTTTCTCTTTTCTTCTAGTTGTCAGTCTTCTTGTTCATCTTCTCTCCCTTCCTTTCTTGGTCCCTTGCCGGCCGCTGTAGATTTTACTCCATGTTTAGTAAATCAGTGGAATTACAAATTTTTCAACTGGCCAGTCTAGTCCAGTGTTTCCGCGCGCTCTGTGACAAAACCTCGTACTGAAGCCTCGTACATCCTCGTACGCTTGCTCATTCATAACTAGCACTATTGTAAGCCCAGTGTTATTTTTTTTTTTTTATAGTAAAATTAGATCAGAGCTTTTTATTTTTACCTCTATTCATATATTTTAAAGCCTTTTCACATTATTATTTTTTAAGTTAATGGGCCAAGAAGTAAAATTAGCTTAATAAAAAAATATAAAAAAGTTTATATATTTTTAGAAACTACTGGAAACTTTATATAATAATTAAAATAGTAAGACAAACTTCTTAAAGAATACAATATTCCTATAATTACTAAAAATAAAGGAAAACACATTATCATGACCATAGAAATTCGAAACTGGGTAACATATAATTGAAATTAATAAATATTAATTTTTTATTACTAAATTTTTCTTTTGCTCACTTAGAACTATTTAAATGAATTATGTAACAATTGTTGTTTTATAAAGGAATACCTTAATAACAGTTTAATCAAACTAGATATGATTGTAATAAACTTGTCTTTGAAGAACATAAGCTAATCATGGTAATAGATTAATTAAATAAAAGTAAAAGTTTATAAATACCTAACTTGAAAAGTTTTGTTGTTGGTAAGTTATCGATCCATCAACGTGTTTAACATAACTATATATATATATATATATATATATATATATATATATATATATATATATATATATATATATATATATATATATATATTTAAATAATTTTCGAAAATATTCAACATTCTATAAACTTTGAATAAGCCACTATAAACTTATTAAGTAATCGACGTATTTACATTATTAAAATTCGAAGGAAAAAAAAATAATGACTAAATCAAAGTTCGAAACAACAAAAAATTTGAATAAAGTAATTTAAGGAAAAACAAATAATTTGAAAACAATGTAACACAAATCTTTTCTTCTTCAACCGCAAATAGTTTCGTCCTCATAAAATATGTCTTAATAGATTCCTTGAGTCTGTACTACACCAAGTGTTCCTGCAAAATCCCGTTCTTCTGATACTTGGAAATTAGCATTAGCCATAAGAGCACGCATTTCACTAGTTGGTGCAAAGTTGATGCAGCCTCCATGGCTTTTGATGTACTCAGATGCCTGAACCAAACCTCCCACAGTAGCTGTTTTCAATCTGTTTCTCTATTTCGTTTTAATTAAATTTATTTTGCTAAAAACACGTTCACATTCAGCATTTGAATGAGGCAATGACAAAATGTTCATAGCTAATTGAGGAAGCCGAGTAAATTCTTTTTCCCCTAGAGGGTTTTTTTTGTTGAATAATTCAGCCCAAAAATGGTCTATACTCTGCTCTTTTTCAATAGTACCTGAAGGCTGAAGTAAGAGCAGTCGCCTCCACTCATCATCTAAAATCTGGTAATCATTATTATTGCAGAGACGAGGCAAACTTTTTAATATATTAATGATAGATGGGGTGGTTTCTCGTTGCTTATGTGAAATACTCTTTTCTGGATTAAAAACTGTAATACTTTTAAGAAGGTTTTCATTAAAACTGTATCTTTTTTTAATCTCAAAACAAAGAGTTTTTAAAAATAAACGGCACCTGCCTCGAAAATCTTTTAACTTTTCAGTGCTCATTTCATTATTAATACCTCCCATCACCTTTCCTCCCAAATAAATTTGATCCAAGGGTAAATACTTGTTTTCGTTTTCGATATTAATGTCTTCCACATTTTTACATGAAATGACATATTTTCTGTCCATAAACGATAATAATAAATCAGTGTATGTTTCTTTTATTTTGTCATCAATTCGAGTTATCAAAGCTTTGTTGGATTGAAAATACTTGTTCAAATCGACTATTTTTGGAAGAACCCATTGAAGAAAAAAATAATATAATTGTGTGAATTTATCACATAAATTATAAATCATTTGAGTCGATATTAGTCTTTCCGTTAACCACCTGTCTGTGAAAAAAAGTTTAAGAGCATCCCACTGTTCCACAATTCTGTCGACGACCTCCTGTAGAGACAGCCACCGCGTCTGGGATGGGTGTAACATTTTATGTATTTTCACGCCAACAAAGTTTTGAAATTGTTGAAATTGGCTTATTCTCTTGGAGCTATCATTGATGAAAGTGTAAATATTTCGTGCAAGGTCTTCTACATGTCGTGGAAGGCATTTGCAAGCTTCGTTTGCACAAATGTGCAAGGAGTGGCAAATGCAATTGATGGTGACGATGCCAGGACAAGCTTCTTTTAATCTGCTTGAAACCGAGTTGTGTCGCCCAACCATCACACTGGCACCATCAGAGCCGAAGCCTATCATGTTTGTTAATGGAACGTCATGTTTCTGAAAGCTTTCTGCTAGTAAATAATACAGTCGTTCTCCCGTTGCTCCCCGTTCTGTGTCCTCTTCTGATATTTTATAAAAAATAGACACTAGATCCCAAAAAAATGTTTTGATTTTTATTTCTTCTTCGTCAAAGAATTTCACCACTACACACACAGTTTTTTCTTTTGAAATGTCAGTACTTTCGTCCAGTGAAATGCTAAATTTGTATTTTTTTAGTTTTCCAATTAAATTGTTTTTATAATCTTGTCCTATAATGTTTGTTATTATTGTATTGCATTTTGTACGCTTTAAGCTCAATCGCTTTGCTATTTGAGAGTCAGGAAAACAATTTTTAATCACATCTGGTAAGTGGTCCATTAATTTAAACGGTAAATTATGCTCTGCTACCATGGCTGAAAGAATTAATTCAGCATTTTGTACTTTTTCGTCTAGAGAAGTGACCTCAGGTATTGAAATTTCGTGAGTGGTGACTTCGGCAGGTATTTAAGGTGACTCACGGAGTTTAAATGCCCTTTTTAATTTGTTATTTCGCATACAATAGCTTTGTTACACAAACGACAAAAAGCTTTAAAATGGTCGTTTTTTACAGGTTCAATCCAGGTTTTATAAGATGGGTCATTAAGCCATTCAGGCCTAAATTTTTGTTTTCTGTGTTTTATATTTTTACTTACTTCTTCACGAATAAATTTAAGTTTTTTGCTATTCGATGGACCGCACTCATCATTAAAGTCGCACATTTTTAATTTCAACAAATCCACACTTTAACAAAATAATTAAGCACAAACATATAATATGAATAACTGTTAAAAAATATCTACTGGAGCAGTGCTGCCACACGTAGTGAGTCAAATTCCGGCTCTAAAAGATACAAACATTTGAATTTGAATAATATTTAAACTCAAAATGACGCGAATTTTTTAGTTTAGTGCCATTACCTTTAATTTTTTTAGTATGATTTAAAGTACTCCTACTTAGTAGATCAAAGATTTAATTTGGGGGGGAAAGTTTTTTTTTCTTTTTTCTAAAACCATAGAACTACTTTTATGAAAGGGTGTTAGTGGTTCTTGAAGGCCAAAAAAAGATATTATTGCAGCATTAATGCTTTTAGAGATAGTCATTATAATATAAAAAATGAATAGATTGTGATTGTTTAAGTATTTAGCTTACAATTAAATCTCGCACGAAACAAGTGTACACCACTGAAGAAATACATTTTTTTTTTTCATTTTTTAAGATGGGCTCATTATGAATACTATTTAATTTTTCAATTAATTACTTTACTCTATTAAAAATTTTAAAAAAATTTAATTACTGCAACAATTTTTTAAAACAATTTAATTTATCTATAATATATTTACTATTCCAGTTTTACGAAGAATATAATAATTACGGAGGAAATAATGTATATATTTTCTCGTATTTTATTTTATGCTCGATAAAAATGACGGAAAAATTTCCTTTGGCTACATAATTTAAAAAATGTATATTTACAAAAAAATTTGGTGAAGGAAATAATGGATATAGTTTCTTATATTTTATTTTTTTCTCCGAAAAAAATCTAAATTTTTTTTAAAATTTTATCTTATAGAAAGTTTAAAAAAAAAAAAAAAAAAAAAATATATATATATATATATATATATATATATATATATATATATATATATATATATATATATATATATATATATATAACCATGGTTTTATGAAGCAAATAATAATTATACTCTAATTAAAGAAGATATAATTGCAATTTATTTGTCTATAAAGCAACAGAAGTTCAGTATTTCATGTCAATATAAATAACAATACAATAAAAATAATTTTAAAACAATTCTAAATTTCATTCATAAAAATATAACCTTGCATTGCATACGTCAGCAAAAGTTATGTACGAGGTACGAGGCTGGTCTACCCTCATACCTCGCACATTACGTCATACTCTCGTACAAATACGAGGATCCTCGTACAAACGGCAACACTGGTCTAGTCAATCTCTCACGCTACGTGAGCGTCTACGCTTCAGTAATGGTGGCGTCACAGTAACAACCGAGGTATATATGCAGTATGCTCCAGATAACAGCTGTGCTGTGTTTACTTGATTTAACTATAATTATTATTATATAACTAAATTATTATTAACAATTCTAGAAGGTTCTCTTCTTGGTCTGGTTGTCTCATCTTGAATCCGGTTCTTCTGGTATCTGGATTTGAAGCTCTTATAGGTTTGGCAGCCTTTGTAGTTGGCCGGGTGTCCATCCTGGCATAGTGCACACACTGCAGGATCTTGTATTGGTTTGGTGCACTCCACAGATTTGTGCTGTTCACCACATTTCACGCAACGCGGCAGATGGTGATAATAAGTTTTTTTGTGGCCATACGCCTGGCAATTGTGGCACTGCACGATTTCCTTCTTGAGGTATGGCTTCTCTATCTTCACGATAGTGTAGTACAATCTCTTGATATCATATATATTTTCAATACCAGGTGATGGCTCTAGATCCACGAAAAATAAAGGTAGTGGAACTTCATTACTTACTCCTGTATGCTGCTCCTTATTCTCCTTCCGAACGTTGGTTACCTGACGCACTTTGAAACCAAGCGTTGCTAGTTCTTCTTTTATCACTTCAGTTGGGGTTGAGGAGTGTAAATTTCTTACCACCACTCGTAGCGATCTCTCCTGTTTCAGCTGGTACGTGTGGAAATTTGCATTCGTTTCTGACAGGCACTTCACAATTTTTCGGTAGGTTTCTGCAGCATCTGGTGTTATTTTTGTATCGTTGGTCCTGTTGAGGCAAGAATAATTGCCGGAGCAGATTTCGTTTAGTTGTGTACACAGTAGTTGAAAATTTTTGATATTTTTTACAAATATCGGAGGAGGCCTTGGTTCCCTAGGTACTGCTGCTGACTCCATTGCTTCTCTGTCATTATGAAGCACTTGGAACAGGTTTGGAGTGAAGAAAGGAGATTCTTCAACCATTTCTTGCGAAGAGGTACCTGGTTGAGGCTGAGGTTCTGTACCTGAAGTTTTCACTGTGGTTATTGGAGCTATTTCTCGCAGGCAGCGACGAGTTCTTTGTTTCGCTGGTGAATCACGAGGGGTACTAACGCCGTCTGACCGAGTCCTCTTAGTGGGCACCTTACTGGACATCACTTGCTGACAATGCCGCATATCATAAGAGAAAAAAAATTAAAATTAAAAAAAATTAAATAAAAATGTAGCAAACAGTAAATAACAACTGCTGTGGTGTACACTTCAACTGTATTCAGTAAATAATCAAAGAGATTCCGCTGAAAAATAGACAAAAACTGAGAGAAGATTTCAGAACACGTCCTTCGCATCAGCTGATCCACTACCTTCAAAAAAGATTTAATAAATAGGAATAAGCTTATAGTTAACTGCAAGACTCATGCTAGAATCTTGCGCAAGACCAAGACCAAGAGCAAGGTTTGTTGACGCAATACCAAAACCGCCTCGGTCTCGTCTTGGTCTTGCGTTTGGGCAACACTAATTAGCACCAATGGCCGATAAAAAAATTTGGGAACTTAATCCAACATCTTCAATTCATATCAGACATTCTCTAATATTGTGTGAATGAATACTACAGCACTAGTACCAATGTCCTTCAGTGTGGCAGACTGCATTAAAACTCAATAAAAGTTTAAAATAACATTCTCTAGTAGCTCTATCCGATCCAGATCCAAAATCAAATGAATTAGAAACCCTTAGGAAGCAAGCTGAAGAACTATCTTTTGTGAAATCAGTGTTCTTAGCAGACATCGGACCTTTCACCCAAATTCCAGAAAAAGGAAAGATTCTTCTGAAACTATAAATTTAGATCTTAGCTATAATCATTATAATTTTATTTTATTTATTTATTTTATATTCCTCCCTACCCTGCCTTTAACACAATACGGGAGTTTGCAGCAGTGACTTTATACACATTTTTTTCATAACAAATCACTGTTGCAAGTTTATCTTTTACATTGCTGTGCACACAGCCTGCTTGATAATTTTTTCTCTTATTTTATCTTCCTCCATCTTTTTCTCCTGTCATAATCAGCGGCCTTCCAGGTACTGCTTCTTTACGCCTACCTAGAAAGAAGTGGGTCGGGTCCACGCTTTTTTTCCACCCGCACACAAAACTTTTAAAGTGCGGGTAATTTTGTTGAGACATCAGTTGGGGTAATTGTCTTTCTGTTAAACCGTAAAGCTCTGTATCCCTCATTAATTTGGCCTTCAATGCCTCATAGCTGGTGCAGGCTACAAGGATGTGCTCAGCGATTTCAGGTACTCGACAAGTGCGGCATAAGGGATCGATGTTTTTCCATGTTTAAAAAGTTTCGCTCTGAAACCCCCATGCTCCGTGAGGATCTGTGTGACCCAGTAGTACGGGATTACCCATTTCTTTTCTAAGCGCGATTCAACGGTGGGAAAGAATTTTCTTAGTGTGGACCCGTTAGGGGTTGTCACCCATCGCCGATTCCATTGTTCCAATGTATCCTCCTGGAGGATCATCTTCCATCTTCTGGGGTCTTCACAAATCCTCTCCCGATGTTTGCTGGTAAATCCGCCAAACCAGCCTCTTAATGTTGTGCCGAAAAAGGTCTTCTCGCAAGAGAAGGTTGAGAAGAATACCTCCTCCTAAAACCTGCAAGACTCATTATAATTTTGAAGGTAAGGCGCGAAAATGCTTTCCACCATGAGTTTTAGGAAATAAATCAGATTCATCACAGAAAAACTACCTCCCCCTTCCTCCCATGACGACAGGATACACGACCGAAATAAATCGCCTTTTTATAAGTGATGTTTCTTTATTTAATAATCTATTTATTGAATAATAATACAATCAGCCACTTCTGGAGAGCTATAAGGATTAGGGCTAAGAGTTCTTATTCATACAATATATACGAATAATAGAGAAATAAATATAAATATAAAAATTAAATAAATAATACTGATGAAGAAAGTAAATAAAAGAAAAAAAAAGTAAACAAATAACATAAAATAGAAACTTCTAAACACAATCATACCTATATACCACAAGCGGATCCAGGATTTAATTTTGGGAGAGGCTTCAGCCCGAAACCTTTTTTTTTTCATAAAAATAACGATAATTACTTTGGAAAAACAGAAAGAAACTAACTACCTATATGAAATGGTGTTTAAGTTATTCCTTAAGTACTTTTATATGTAATTGAACGAACAATAATACTTTAAGAGGTATTTTTAAAAAAATAATTCCCATAAAACATGGTTATATTTTTCCATTTTGGGGGGAGGCTTCAGCCCGAAAGCCCCACCCCCCGTAGATTCGCCCGTGCTATATACATTCGCCCAGGAATCTCCGAATCAGGCTTTTTCCTCCACATGTGGAAGGCAAAGCAAGACTCCAGGAAATCCCAGTGCCACTTTTCCAGCCGCATTACTAGTATTAGAAGCCAGTGGAGACTGAAAGAGGGCACTTGAGCCACAGACGCTCAGGACATGAGTGGAGAAGCTGGCCATTGCCAGGACTCCAGAAGCATATTTACAAGAGATCTCTGGGCCACTGCCGTTTTAAAGTGATATTTCTAATAACTGTTTTTTTTTCTAATAGACACTGAATTTCCTAATTCTGTCCGTTCAATCAACAATTGTGACCCATATCATTCATTACTGTGTAACTAGGCTTGACCAGACCAAATGCATTGAGCATGAAATTGAGGGAACACAACATCGAACATCTTATAGAGACGAGAGGAGCTCCTGTATTCGCTAAGCCTAGAAGGCTCCCATCAGATAAACTTCAAGCAGCCAAACAGGAATTCAACTTCATGTTACAACAAGATTTGTGCAAGCGTTATATACTCTAATACTCTTGCTAACGTTTCGGGACTGTATCCCTTCCTCGAAGCTTTTCTTTTTGCGTCAGAATTCAATTTCATTTAAACATTAAGCTAAAAATAGTTTCAATGTCGAAGCAAGTTACTTTTTAATTACTCTAACTTCTTAAATGAGAGGTCAATTATTGGGAAATTAAAAACATCTCTCAATGCCAGTAACCAAAAAACTATCTAATATGCGCAAATCCGCCAAATTTGCATAGAATGGCATTTTATTTTTAAGGGCCTTATTATTTTTTTTTATTACTAGCAGCCAGAAACACGAGTGACTACAAGAGGGGGTGCAAGCTAGGGGGGAGAGGGAGAACGACGTTAGAGGAAGTCTCAATAAAATTCATTCTTCAGTTTAGTTTGGTACGCCAATTAAAGAAGTTTCTCTTAAGGTCAGTCTGTTTCCATGTTTACAACTCTTCTGTGCTTCGTGTTCAATTTATATATATATATATATATATATATATATATTGACATAATTATTTAATTGGGAACAAGTTCGCTTATTAATTATTCGATAAACTACTAAATGTTCATTGCTTCTGCTGTTTTTTCGACGTTTTGATCCTTTATATATATATATATTTAAGTCAAAAATGGGATCCTCTTCAAAGTTTTAAAATCCTTAAAATCCTCGATACCTCAGACGAGGATCATACCGACAGTCAGATTAAGGAGTAGCTTAATATCTGCGCTGGTGGACGGTGTTGAGACTGTCGGTGTGTCCCTGGTCTGAGGTATCGAGGCTCTATTTTAAAACTTTGAAGAAGATCCCATTATTAACATATAAAAAAGAGAATAAACAGCAGAAGCAAAGAACATTTAGTAGTTTATTGAATAAATATTAAGTGACCTTATTCCCAATTAAAAAAAATATGTTAAAATACAATATATATATATATATATATATATATATATATATATATATATATATATATATATACTGACACACATACTGACACATACAATATACATATATACTGATATATACATATACAGGGGTGTGAAAAAGTCTTCAAACAAACCAAATTTTTATAAAAATGATAAACGTTTCGATTTAAAAATAATTTTATCATCGCAATTGAAAACTGATTTAATCTTCCAAACATTGTAGAGTATATACATAAATTAACATTATTTTCAATTCAAAACAAGTTACCGATCCGATGTTTTGACGTTATTTTATCCTCTGAATTTTAATTATTTTTCTCTAAAGTACCTTTTATTTGGTTTATTACAAATAATAACTATTTCTCATTTTTAGAAGTTATGAAAAAATGTCAAATATAACTTTTAAAAGAATTTGACAAATGAATATCCGGAGATAATAGTCAGAAGATATAAACATACATTTGGAAAGCGGAAAAATAAATTTAAAAAATATATCTAATATAGAAAGTTGTAGAAGTTCTGCGCCACAGAGTGTGGTGAAAAAAATATAAATCGTAATTTCTAAAAACTAATTTTAATTTTAAAAAATTTTAAGTTCCAGAAAAAGTATTAAAACCCATGAATCCAATTCAATGACATTGTTTAAGATACTATTTTATTGTACTTGTTTAAAGAAGAGATGAAATATAAAAATATTTCATGGATATGTTTATAACCTTAAATATATTTACTGCAGTTTAACAACTATAGATCAGATATAATATTTAAACAATTAGATACCTATCGTCCGTTTATTCCGAAAAATCGTCATGCAATCATTTAGAAAATTAAATTAGTGAATAAAATGATGAATTTTTCCCTTCGTGATATTCCAACATTATCCACTTACAATTAGTGTGACAACTTTTGACCTGTCTTTGACAGATTATGCAAATCTCTTTATTCCATTTTAGTAAACTTTGCAATGGAAAATAACAGTTTAATTACCAATAGTCGTACAATCCATAATCAATGGATCGTACAATCCTCAATCAACCGGTGTTATAATAAATAGGACTTTTGTTATTTTAAGGGAATTTATGATTTATTAACTGTAAGCTTTTATCTTTAGCTCGGTTAAAAATTCAATTCAAAAATGTTATAATAGCCCAATATGGCCAGCAAATAATTACTATTCAAAGTTGAGAGGTAAATGAATGTTGTATGTTGCGCGCAACAGATTGTTTAAAATACTATTTCATTTTACTTGCGAGAAAGAAGAAAAATATTTCATGGTTAAAATAAAGCATTCATGGTTTAAAAAAACATATTTAAAAAAATAAAGCATATGTTTATAGGCTTAAATACATTTACTGCAGGTTAGTAATTCTAGATCTGATATTATATTTAAATAATTAGGTATTTACAAGTCCGTTTATTCCGAAAATCGTCATGCAATCTTTTGGAATATTAAATGAGTAAATATTTTGATTAGTTTTCCCTTTGTGATTTCACAAACAACATTATCCACATAAAATTAGCGTGACAACTTTTGATCTATCTATGGGGCAGGCAACGAAAATCTCGTAATTTCATTTTAGTAAACTTTACAATGGAAAAGTAATAGTCGTACAGTCCATAATCATTTATATGTTGGATATATACTTTCAAATATCTCTATGTATAATATAGCTCAGAAAGTGGAGTTGGTGTGGTTAATAAAACAGATGGAGAGATGGGGTTTTTATTGACTACCGTTGATATAATTGATACGATTTGTGTTGTTTTAATTGTATTAATGATTTGTTAGCTGTAAGCTTTAAGCTGTAGCTCCATTAAAAATATTTATAATAACCCAACATTGCTATAAAATAATTGTAATCAAAGTAAAGCGGTAAGTGAAAGTTGTGAGTTATGCGCACCAAATTTAATGTTACTTTTATTTCTGAAAATGGCAAAATATTATATTTTTGTCAGACATAACATTATAATTTGGCATCGACGAGAACTTTCAATCAGTAACAATGCATAATTTCTTATATTTACGGCAGATGTATTTATAATAATATGGTGTTTTGAGAATTTTCTTTTCAATAATTCAATGATTTGTTCAATTCACAGACTGAAAGTTATATGATAATCTTACATAAATTCTAATAAAAAGTTTCCGCTTTATTTTTATTTTATTTTTCAATCTGACGAATCATACTTAAATGCATGTGAAATAGATAAAAACAGACAAGAAGGAAAATGGACAATATTCAAGGTTCTATATATACATACATTAAAGTATTAATTTATATATAAACTTCCTTACCACTTACTACACAACATAGTTGTCTTGTTAAATTAATGTAATTTTTTTTTCTTATATTTAAATTTCTTACTGTGTACACGCGTTAGCCCAATCGTAAAAAAATAAATAAAAAGCAGGACTGCTGGAGAAATAAAAAGCAGGACTGCTGGAGATTCCTTAGCTTTTCTCTCAACCGCTGATACTAAAGCCAGTGGAGATTGATCGAGAACGCTATAGCCACATACATTTATGTTATGAATCAATAATCTGGCCATTCCCAGAACTCAAATATATTCAAAGTACAAAATATCTCGGGGCCACTACCGTTTTAAACTTCTTGGATGATTATAGTGATGGGTAGTGCTTGATAGAAAACGCGTAGAGAGATTTGGATGATATGTAAGGTTCTGGTTAAATTTGGAGAAGTTTTCTGGTATAAGGACTAGAGAAAATAGGATATTGATGTAATGGGTTTTGTTGGTTACATAGAACGGATCATCGACTACTGTTCGAAGGACTTTGGACTGAAAGGATTGGATGCGTTTGATGTTAAAATATTTTGCTGTTCTCCACGGTTCTAGTCCGTAGGCACAAATAGGTTTAATAATGGCGTAGATCTGTAAATTTCGGTCAAGTGAAAGTTGGCATATTCTAGTCAGTAATCTGTATAATTGGCCATATAGCCGATTAAGTTCTTATCTTTTAAGTCTATTAGGTGGGTTCCACATTAATCTTCGCTCTAAGAAGCAACTAAGATACCGTACCGTGTCTGAAAAAGGAAGCTGGATGGAATTTAAGTGAACTAGTGGACAGGATTTGCTTCGGAGCGCAAAGGTAATGTGTTCGCAAAACGCAATGAACAGGAAAAAAAAAAAATAAAATAAAAGATAGAGATGACTTTGTTATTAATAATGCATTGTTTATTAATAATGCTATTTGACGACCTGGGTTGGATAAAAGGATGGCGGTGTCATCAGCCAATATTGTCAGGTAGGGCGTGGATATCAGCGGCAAAGAGAAAACAAATTGACGAATTTCAAATGGTAACTTGAGGAACACCAGCCTCAACTGGATAACAATAGGAAAATTCTGTACCCCAGAAAACACGTAAGGTACGATCATAGAGGTAGGATCGAATAACTAGGTGTAAAAAGTAGTGCAGGTGGGTTTTAAGCTTTAAAAGCAGCCCGAACTGCCACACCCGGTCAAGTGCTTTGTCCAGAAATTCATCCGAGCAGTATTGCTGGCTTTCCAGAGCTGAGGAAATGTGATCAACCACTCGGAGTCCTGATTAAACGACGGAATCTGTATTGAATTGATAATAACTAATAAAAAAGAAGGTTTTGGGATTCTATCATGGATAGGATTCTTTTCAGTAGAATTTTTTTTTAAGCTTTTGAATAGGTCAACCTTATTGGTCTATAGGATGATATGTTATTGGAAGGTTTGCCAGGTTTTAGGAAAAGGAAGATGGTGGAATGTTTTCATAAGGGGGAGAAGTGGGTAGTTCGTAAGATGCAACTGGATATATGTTTAAGTAATATGATAGGTTCCGGTGGAAGTTATCGAATGATCTGAGGTGTTAAAAGATCGTATCCCGGAGATTTACGAGGAATGGTTTTGTGTGAAAGGCAGAGGTGTCCAGAAGGAGGTTTTATGGCGCTAGTTGTGCCATCAAAATTTTTGGGAAGGGCATTTTTTGACGATTCTTTTAATTTCGGTGGAATGTCTAGCGCCTATATAATAATCTATCTGATGTGGATCAGGGCAAGGAGGTGTTGGAACAAATTATTTTTCTTATGTAAAGCGTAAATGAATTTACGGTATTGTCAAGGACTTTTGAGGTTTCCATAGTTACTCTATGGTCAGTTTTATTGGGAAGGATATAATGAAAGAGTATCCAGTTTACTGGAAATAATAAAATATGATCAAAACCATACACCTTTAAGCAGCCACATAATAGAAAATAAACAACCTTGAATAGTTTTGTAAACGTTACAATAGGGAAATGAGAAAATATATATATATATAAAAGAAAAGAAAAGACGATTTTTGTATGAAAAAATTTTTAAACCAAACATTAAACATAAAAAAAGTCTGAAGTTTATTCCTGATATATGGAATTAAATTATAAAAAGCAAATTATGTTTCCTCCCCAACCCTAAATGTACTTTTTTTTTTTTTTTTTTTGCACTTACATTTATTTATCCGCACCTGTCAATTATT